GGGGGGGGCAGAGGGGGGTATAGAGGTCTAAACAGTCAGAATTCTGAGTTTTCTATTGTTCCTTTTAGTGGTTTAACTCATTAGCTTGCCATTTCCTTCACTAGAATCCGTGATCATTTAACACGGTGATCTTCCACATTGCAAAGCCATATAGCTCAGTCGGAGTCCCCCAACGTTTTAGAGGAATGTATTACCTCCACCTTCAGGGTCATTTGACCTGCTTATTGCCAATTTCTTGCTTGGCTTTGTCCTTGTCTATGAAGGTGGTGGTGATTTATTCCTTCGAAATGTCAATGGACTGTTCTTAACTACTTAGAGTTATACCCCAGAAAATTGTATTCTTCTTAGTCACTGCTGAAAGAAGCCTGTATCCAATATGACTCAACTTTTTATCTGATAGTAGCTGAGATTATAAACATTTTAAATTCCTTGTACTTTAAATATACAGTTACTCTCTCCTCACATAATGAAACATAGTACCACCTGTTGTGTTGTAACTTCTGTAAGAATCAAAGCTGGCGTGTAGCTATCGATTCTGTGTAAAGTGTAACAGGTAATGTGACATATTCGACCCCTAAACGTGAATGAAAATTGTTCATTCATTTCCTTTATTTTCCATATATCCATACAGGATGTGGAAATAGTCCCTTTGATAATAGATGTGTCCAGATACATATAATAAATTACATAAGTTACATAATTAAAATCACATACATTAGTCAATTAACATAGGTTATAGAATAAAAAAATTATTAAAATTATAATTAATAAACATAATTTAATTTAAAAGAACATTACTATAAAAACTTAAAATCAATACAATTTCATTAAAATTACCCAAATTAACTGAATTAAATGCATTATAAATTTACACACTTATGACCAGTTATAAAGGCATTGGCTTAATTTGACTAAAGTGAATATTTATATTGTATTTTTTATGGCATAGAGTGTATGATATTAATGCTTTGTATTTTATTTATTGTATTTGATGATTTTTAAGGGAGTCTCAAGCTCCGCTTCTGCATTTTACAGGGAACAACATGAACACTGTTGCTTGTAGTAGGTCTGTAAACCTTCCCCAGTCTATGGACCTATCTAGTAACGCAGTAATTACTCTTCCCACCATCACAGAAAATAAGACTCAGCACTCATTGGGTTCTGACCTTAGCACAGCTTCGCACACATCTGAATCATCAAAGGAGATATCATCATCAGGAACACCACCATATAATGAGAAGAAGATATTTACAGTAACTGTTACTAAAACTCCCACAGAGAATGATGAGTGATATTTCCTTTGTCACAGTTTTTCTTTAAACTATTTTAAGAACTTAATCTGTTTATGAATAGTTTTGTATTAAATAATTATGTGCGTAATTTTGTAGTAATGTAAGTATTTAAGAAATAAATAATTTAAGCAGAAAAATATATAATTATTGTTGAATTGCTGAAGAGTTTCTGAATGAAGTTTGTGTATTTTGAATGTCATAAATTATGTATATGTTAATATTTAAAAGTATTTATGTTAGTTAGTTATTTAGAGAGGGTGGGTTTCCCCATGCACCGCGACCAGTTTGATCTATTGTGCTTCCCTCTATGATATTCCACCAATCTCTATATCCTACCGGTACTGGTGCTTACCATCAGTCCTGCCCAGCCAGCGAGACCGGCTCTACTAGCTGAGAGGTATCTACAATGCTTCCCCCATCTACCAGAGGTATTAGAGACTGCTCTTGGGCGGGAAACGCCCGTAATTTGGCTCAGTGACCTCCTTTGGAGATATGAGGTTCTTTTACATGCCGTAAAGCTACGACACGGAACCCACGGCTTAAAGTCCCTTCCGGAGGACTTGTTCCCTGAATTTTTCCGCCCTTAAAAATTCGACGACCTCTGCCGGGTATTTGAACCCGCGTACTATGAGTCATGAGGTGGGAACGTTACCTCTCGACTACGGAGGCCACTTAAAGTATTTATGTACAAAAAAGCTATAAACTATTTGTATTTGAAAGTTATTTTAACAATACTTCATATATTGGGTCCTAACTTACAGAAATCAGTAGATATTCTTTGGGTATATTGCTAATCAGAACATCTTTTGTGTGCTTGATCTAGATGAAGCCACTTATAATTCCAATTCTATGTGATAGTCATGCTCAACTTTCTTTGGAAATATTTCACTTAAATGAAGGCTCATTGACTATCTCTCTCTAGTTATCAAGGATGTGCTCCATATACAGATTTTCATCACAGTATTATAGTAGAAGTTCATATTAAGATTTCACTTCAAAGTTATACTAGGACTGGTTTAGACGTCTGGTTTTTGAAATCTCTCTGAAGTCCCTTTTTTCATTTTGGCTATCGATTAATTATGGTACCAATTAATTTTCTTGAAAAAAAAAAATATGGTTATTTTGAAATCTTATTATTTAACCCTAGTTAATTATGATCAGCTACTGAAGTGAGTAAGAGATATGCATTTATTAATGTTTCTACTTTCTATTAATTTTCTTGCCCTTCTTTGCCGCCATCTGCTTGAAGATATGTTGGTTTCTAGAGTCAGTTTTAAAGAGGGAAGTTTTCTGCTTAATTGATTAAAGTCACAGCTAACTATGATGCGATTTCTTTTTCAGAATTTACATTATTTTACACTGACATGTATTAGTGACTATAGATGTAGGTTTGGATTGGTGAATTGATTTATTGGGTATTCACAAGTCATAACTACAATTAACTATAACATTGAAGGTTACTGTAATTGTAACACATGAATAAAGTCTTATATATATCTGCTTGCAGTAGTCATTGCTAGGTAACATTTCTCAACAAAGGCTAAGCCTTGACAATTTTTTCACTATCCATTTCCTGCCAATGGATTTTACACAGGAACTATGAAAGTCTCACTTAATCACATACTCCCAATATCACTGTACTACAGCACACATACAGTCTTAAAATCACATGTTAAGTCTTCACAGGCCGACTTCTAATTCTTCTTCAACTATGAAATTCCTCTGGCTGACTTCAACCTTCTATTCCAATTCTCTCAGCTGCACTAGCTACAAGTGAACTCATATTGTATAGCCACCGCATGGACCAGTGCACAGAAAAAAACAGCTTCTTTCATTGTTGCATGATCCTTCTGTTGGGGTTACCATGTGATCACTATTTAGTCAGTCCATTGGCGTCCTCACTTCTGCCTGGCAATAGAAAACACTCTTCCTATTGTTGCTTGTCCATATTGTGGCCATGGCCTGGAGATGGACGTCCTTCTATTGTGTGCAAGTCAGTCGTGGAGTGTTTATCTAGCCGTTGCCAAGCAATGCTCAGAGCAAATCCATCACAATAATTCTCAGGATTATAAGATTTGTAACTTTTTAAAGGAGTGATACCATGGACATGCTTAAGATGTCATCACAGCGACTTCATATGAATTTTATTTTATGTGTCGTTGCTCTCAGAATGGATACTCTTTATAGTAAAGAAATTATGGATATTAATTTCTAATTATGACATACTGATCATGTACTATGTAAGATTTTAACTTACTTTTATTATTTAAAATTTCTTGCATATTACTATTCTTTTAAGTTTGTGGTTAAAATATATGAACAGAAAATGCAATTGCAGTACAAATACCCACATTCATTCTTCTGTGTTAAGTTATGAACTGTTATATATTGCAGTATATCAGAATCTGTAACGGCAACAGTTAGTGGTCATGCTTTAAACAGCCCATAATAAAGATGCTGTGTTCACGGTTTCCATCCATAATTACACTGGTCTCTTTTTGTGATTTATTTAATAATGCTTCCCCTAGCTCAAATCGTGTCAAATTATAGGCTGGTTAGTGTTATTAAATTTGTAAATCATTCAAGTATTTTATGAATCATTTGTAAGTCTAATCAGAATATTTTGCATATTTATTTATAACTTTCAGTTATCCCTCATCGTGATGCTGGGATGTAAGCAATCCTTGTAAGATTTGAGGTTTTCACGGCGGTGACTATGAAGAAAGCAGTCCTCTTGAATGTGGCACCGTGTAGATGTGGTGTTAACTGACGTTTTGGAGGAATGTACTGGTTCACAGTCTCTTCACTTGCGGATTTTCTTATTTTTCCTTCTACCCTGAAGATGGAGGCGAAACGTCGGTTAACACCACATCTACACGGTGCCACATCCCAGAAGACTGCTTTCTTCATAAGCAGTCCTTGTTAGTTATAGAGAATTGCAAATTGAATTTTATTTGTTTCTGGTTATTTAATTATGCCTTCTGTAGCTTAGATTATGCAGTATTGAATGACTGGATGATTGATAAATAATTAATTCTAAATACTATGGAAGTAGGCAGCCATGGCCTAACTAAAGTTACAGTTGTGGCATTTCCCTGGAGAGACTGAGGAAAACCGTTAAGAAATCTGAGTCAGGATCGCTGATCAAATTTTTTAATCCTGGACTTCCTGAATATACTCATACAGCAGGAGTGGTACTCGCTTGGCCATGACCTTCACTCTATGCCTACCTTATTAATAGCTGCTTGACTTTCTGAATATATGATAATCCAGTAAGAAGTTATCTGACACCCAGGTGCCAGACTAACAGATGATCTCTTCTTGCATGTCTGCTGCTACATATTCAGTATTTTCAGCTATATTCTACATCTGGAGGCCATCTCCTTCATATGCCATGCCATGGTGAGAAGATGGTTTATTTTACGATTATAAAAATTTTGAGAGACACTATTATAAAATCAGTATTAATATTCTTTTAAATTTGTCTTTTGTGAAGTGAAATGTATGAAGTGTGATCAAAAGATTTTGAAATTGTAGTCTCTGTTTGATAATTGCATTTACTGTTTATTACATCCTCCCGGTTGTCCCCTTTGAAGTAGTTCACTTGCCATTTGTTGCAGTGAATTCAGTGATTGCATCATTGCTGAAAGAACATGTAGGAGTCTTGCATTTTGAATGCTTCAAGTGTGTGATTGTCCTTGAATGTTTATCATGTCAAATCTTTCCTTCATTTCCCCCTTGATTTTCACGAAAGAGAGGTCATCTGGTGAGAGATCCAGGAAGTATGAAGATTATGGGAAAAGAGCCATGTCTTTGTATCCAGAAATTCACAGGTAAAACTCAAACAAAGCAAACTGAGTAGGAACATTGCCATGATGGAGAAATTGACTTCTAGTGTGCCACTTCTTGGAACATTTTCACTGTACATATTCCTGTAGCTTGTACAGAAAATCGGAATAAAAATGTTGGATCACAATTTGTCCCTGTGACACAAATTCATGATGCACAGTTCAGTAAACGTGAAATAACACAACTAGCATGATCTTTACATTGGCACAAACTTGCCTTTGGATATGGACTTGTTGGACTTCTCTTTTGAGAAGACCTGATTTTTTCAGTCATACCTGTAAAGCTGTATTCTGTCATAAATGATTTAGACTACATGACGTCATGTCCAATCTTCATAGTCATCACTGTGAGGAGAATTTCAAGCCTCACTCCAATTACATGAAGTAGATATCAGTACCAGTACAGTACCTATGAAAGAACATGATCACTTTTTTCTATATACTTCATCACTCTAAGCTTACATGATAATCATGACAACTCATTAAATGTTACGTAAGTTCTGCAATTGAAGCATTATTTTCACACAACCCATAAACTTAAGAACTTAAAGAGATGAAGGAAATGCAAAACTGCATAATGAAATATAAATCTTTACCATTGTGTTTGGATATCAGTGCATAACTAATATGTTTGTAGCAGAAGGATATTTTCTATGGAAACAGACCATTACAGAAGTAGAGGCTGTAGGAAACAATCAGTCTATCAGTATCAAAAATAGTATTCTAAAAAAAAGTGAGGTGTAATAAATATAAAGACTTCTGAAAAATAATGCAATTTTTACTTTGAAATGCATGATTAACTAAGAAAAATAATGACTGAGATTTTCTGACAGAATTTTTCAGCATTATATGTGCAACAATTTAACAAAAACAAGAGCGTAGACTGCTGTGATGGAAAACAAAAGCTGAATCAATCTCATTCCTGTCACCACACTTTGTAATCTGTTGTTAAATATGTGGAAACTTACTTCAGTTCAAAATGTTATGACCCACTGTTTGAGATAAAACACATAAATAACAAGAAATAGAATGAAAATATTTCAGAATTCATATAGTTCTGTAGGCTTCAGTATTGAATTGAAGAGTGTTGTCTTCTGGGCTGTGAAACCATGTTACCTGATAGATATACTGTATTTACAAACATTTTGAAGGAACCTGTTGCTACTTCCAACTTCATGCAAACTCTTCTATCCTGAACATGAAAGTAGCACATACCTCTGAAATGTTGGTAAATATCTACCAGACTAAACTGCATCATATTCTAGGAGATAGTCAGCTTCATAGTCACTATCTTGAGAACCTCAAATCTCGATATGATGTTCATTGTAAACTTATTTTTACCATCATTATGAGCTTTATAAAGATAAGTAATTAAGTCTTATTCTTATGAATTTCAAGAGATTGTCTTATTATTATTTGTTATGCATTACATGTGTACATGTTTTCATTGATTCTGTTCATTTGAAAGCACTATACGAACTTGACTACATATATCGGTAAATGGTGCGAATTGAGTAAGAGAAGAATACTTACTAGAGTTAGGATCATCTTGACAGACGCTTCATTTCCATTGTAAACCTTTATTAGTGACTTGCTTATTGTAGAAGTTTTATAAGCTGTATGATTTTTCCAGTTGCTGTAGGAACTAGCGATAAAGAGCTTATGATGGCCTCTTTAGACCCTAAGCTAACCAGTGCACATGTGATAATTGCATTTAATCAGTTATCATCACTGTTACAGTTTTCCATGCAAAGCAATTTAATTTGCACACAGTTAAGGATTTTTACTTGTGTGCTGGATTAATGTGGGTGTACTGAAGCTACCAGATTACCTACTGAAGCATTTGCTGCTTTCGTTTTGTTGTGATGTGTCTTCATTCGTGATAGTTTCCTTACTAGCAGTGGTAGCACTTCACAATGCCAGGTGTACTCTTTGTCGTGTGCGTTCCCACAGCGGAATATGAGAAATCTCTCATATATGGGACATCTCCAGTCGTCGTCCCCTCTACTGACATGTTCCCTAGCCATGGTTTACAGAAAGGTCCTTCAGGTAAAATAATTGTGTAATATTTTACAAAGAATTTTCATTTGATCCTTGTAAGTGTTTGTACATTTGTACATAAATGACACGTGATTTTGGATAGGAATTATATATTACTATATGTACCCAAAATTTAAGGGAAAGTTATGTTTGTTTTCATTTTTGTATATGGAAATAAAGAATTTAAGAAAGTAAAACCAAAAGGGAAAGTGCCTGATGTGTTGTGAGAAAGAAGATCCAATTCATATAATATCTTTATACTGTTGATAATTTCTGGGCTTGTACTTTCTGTACTCAGAACTCTTACATTATAACTCAGTACCTGAATTTGGAAATTACAAGACTAAGCTGAATGAGGAAGTAAGGGAGCAAAAAATTTGTTAAAGGTCTTTCATTCTGGTCCGTCACACTAACCAATTAACAATCAAGTTCCTTCCGTCAAATGTGACACTTTTTTAAGTTTTCCACCTCGTCACAACACACAGACAAGCAACATCAACTACCGACAGACAACACACGTCAACAACATCCCGAAGCAAAAAGATTGGGCCAAGCGGGAAAGAATTCTAGGGATTTTAAGAATTCTTACTTCTAATAACGAAACATAATTTTACAGAATTAACGACGAATCAAATAAGGAAGCTACTGTGGTGTGTGAAAAACTTTTAGTGAACCGACATTCTGGGTAATTTTAACTATTTGTAATTATTTTAATTAACTGGAACGTGGCTATCTTGGACAAAGTGAAGTTTTGTGTGTTGGTGATTTCTTTTTCTACTATAAATGCCTCTGATGATGGCTCCGTGGTGAGCCGAAACATGTAAGGCAGGTGCTGACGAGGTGGAAAACTTAAAAAAGTGTCACATTTGACGGAAGGAACTTGATTGTTAGAAAATTTGTTGTTTGCTGCTCTCCTGTATGTTTCAGTCACTCTTCAACCCCAGAGATGGATGCATTGCATTGAAATATTGATAAATTTCTACCATACTCTACAGTGTCAGATTCCAAAATTTAATCCATGTGACAACTTTTCTTTTAGATATGGTACCTACTTTCTCAAAATCTGTTTAGTATGATTATATGAAAAATGTAGACAAACAGATGTGACCTACCATCATGCTTTAGTTATATGCACTTTACATAAAGACTACATAAAGAGTATTATCAAAAATTTTCAAAAGGATTCGAGAGTTGAAAGATAAGGCAAATATGTGCAGAATGCCTATAAGATTTTTATTTCTCTTTGCATAAGAGACGAGCCCTTTTTAACTTTCTCATATTATACAGTGAACATGAGGAAGTATTGTGCACATCAAAATTCGTTCTCAGAATTTGGCTGGATTTACACATTTTCAGCCCCTCCCTGAATTTTAAAATGTTGTTTTTGGAATGTTTGTCTCTCTGCCTGACTGTGCCTGACTGTATGTATGTGCCCATTGCTAGTGCCTGAATAGCTTTACTGTTTTATTTATAGTTGGTATTTAAGAGTTTATCTATCTTAGGACATTGCCTAGTGAATGTGAACATTCTGGCTTCAAAAATTGCTGACCTTCATAAGAACCTCCGAATACAGAATTGTCAATTTTCTTAAAATGACACTAAATATTTTTAGATTTTAAAGGATTTTGATGATGGTGTAGAACATTCAGAATTACTTGGTTTTTGGACTTTTTCCAATGTCTGGTATTCTAGAGTCTAGCAAACACAACGTTTTGGAAACTGTATCTGTTTCTGTCTTCAGGTGAGGGAGGATAAGACACCTACTCACTCGGGTCACTTAGAAAGGTGTCTTCCCCCCCCACCTCACTAGAGGATGGGAACAGATCCTGTGTCAAAAACCCAGTAAATGTGACTAATGATTTAATTTAAATTTCAGTAAATTTTTGGAGATCATGTCCTTAAATAAAAGTAAATAGGTGGCGTCTTCAGGTAAATAACAGTATATCTTCTGTCAGCCGAATTGCATATGTGAGAAGGTATGTGCAAAGTTAATACAGCAATTTTTTTGCTTTCCTCCCCTATTTTGATTCTTATATTCTATTTACAGGGGAGAATCTCATAAAACTGGATCCTCCTGACTCGAAGGAGGGATTTGTAAGACATGGGTTCGGGAAATTTAGACCGTTATTTCACTCCAAAGAACATTCAAACAGTGAGAAGCACATGAGTGCAACAGCACGGATACACGAGGATAGCAAAATGGCTAAGAATGCTATGAATTTTAGCAATGAAATAGTGCCGATGGAGAGGGTAAGAACCTCGTTATTCATCACATGGTGTAATCATATCATGTAAAAGAAAAGGTAAAAGGTGAAGTTGTCCCTGTGTTTTATTAATCAATCACCATGCCATGAAGATGTGTGGGGAAGTGGAGTTGGAGATGCACCATTTTGATGGAGGTGAGCGGTCAGTTTCATCCCCCAGCTGTTATATTGTTGGGGAAGGAGCCCCAGTACCCATTGGATAGGAGGCTTTGTGGGCCCCAGAGTCAGTCTGGACACTATGGAGTAAAGAAGAAGTTTCATGCTTCTGCTGGGAATTGAACCACAGCCATCCATCCCACAGCCTGTTGATGTACTGGTTGCTCATGCTGTATCTGAAAACCTATTTCAGTGCTGAATAATGTAGAACATTATGGTTGAACTGGTAACATTAATGCTTCATATCTGGACAGATCAATCCAGGCCGGGAGACCGGATATCCCAACTTTAATTTTTCGTGATTTTCCACAGTTCTTTCATTCAGATAGGAGAGTACCTCAAATTAGGCTACAATCGCTCCCTTCCCCATCCTTTTGAAATCATTATTCATTAATCATTGTATGATCTGATGTTGTATGGTCTGAGCCACTCATAGCATTGTTAAATAAACTATGAATAAATAACATAAATATTAAATGAAGAAGGCTCATGTTCCAAAATTTGTAAACACAGTGGATTAATGAAGAACGTCATCTTCTGGGATGTGATGCTGCAGCTGCTTGCTCATGCTGATTCCTCATGCGCAGATTTTTCTACGTTCCTCCGAAACGTCAGTTCACACAAGCTCTACAAAGCGCCACATCCCAGAAGACGGCATTCTTCATAGTCACCCTCATGAAAATTTCAAATCTTGCATAGTGGCTTAATCATTGTCATACTGACTCTGTGCTGACAACCATTGTTGAATATAGATATTTTGAAAATTCATGCACAGTGTCAAATCTGTTCAGTTATCTAAAAAACTGTAGGACTTGCAGAGAATGTTTACCGAACACAAAATTTATAATTCATTTTTCCCCAAAAAATGTATTTGAAATAATTTCGATTTCCATAATAAATATTTTAGCAAGTTACAACTTGATATACACTGAAATGTGTAGGTCTTCATATAAAACGTCAATTAAAATTGCTCTATCCAAATGAATATTGAAGTGATCCAACAGTTTTTCATAAAATTCTCCAAAATGAAATTTTATGAAAATGTATGCACAGCTTCATGAAATATTTATTGTGCTCAGGCAGATGGACTGATTGAATGAACTTATGATGTTCTGCAGGATTGCAGATGTTCCAGGAAAGGTATATAGATAAGTCATAAGTAAGATAATCTTTGCATGCAAAAGTGGGATTATACTGTATTTTTAATTTGTTAAGTAAGTTGTCAAAGGTAAAGATAGAAGGACTACTTTAATCAAGCTTCAAATAGAAATTATGGTCAAGTTCTTATTATTGAAGAATAAGATTTCTAACTGATGCATCTGTAGAACACTGCAATGTGATTCGTACGCTGACTGGTTCTGTGGGTTCTTTCACACACACATATTAACTGAATTTTCAACATCTCTGCCGTCAGAAGGATAATTAGATTATAAGTGTTAACAACCAGGAATAAATGCATCGTTTCATTTCTTGATGGTTTTTCTTCTTTTTTAGGAGGATATGATGTATTGCTTGTGTCATGATGAAACACACAGGAAAGATGAGCAAAACAAAGTAATTAGTGTACTCTGGACTGTAGTACAGGAACAGAATTCGGTCCCATCTTACTACTTTCATTAAAGATAGCTCATTTAGAGATGAGTGAACTTCTCAGTTTATGGATTAACTTAATATGTATTACAGACACCCTATATGCATACAGAATGAAAATCTGAGTAGATAAATGTGTATGGAGAAAAGAACTACCAATTATCACAGTAAATGTTGAATGGGATTGACTATTAAAACGTGGTTGTTACTATCTGCATCACCAGCATTAACGTTAATGAACACTGCATTTTACCTGCACTATATTTACGGTATTTACATGTTTTATATGATTCTCAAAATAAACAGCGATTATTTCCCTGAACAGCATTAACTGACGAATCCTTGTAATTGAGACAGTTTTTATTTTCTCTGAAATTAGCAACTGGATTTTGTTAATGTTTATAGATTGATTTCAGGTGAAATATTTTAGTTACATAATGGCTGAAAAACTCTCTGAGGTCACAGCATAGAGTAGAGCCACACAAAGCGTCTTTTCAAATTTTGGTTCTGTCTTTTAAATCAGTGAAACAATATTTGTGTCAACTTTAAAACCAACAACCATAACAATAGCTCAGTCAGCATAATAACATGCTGTGGGATGGACAGCTTGGGTTCAATTTCTGACAGGGGCAGGGACTTTATTCTTCTCTAAAGCATCCAGACTGGCTCTGGGGCCCACCCAGCCTCCTATACAATGGGTAACGGGCTTTTTCCCTGGAGGTGATTGGTCTGTGAACCTGACCGCTCACATCCATATATTTCTGATATCACTAATGTTCAAGAATGAAAGTAATTAATTAATTAAGCACATGGCATACTTTATCTTTTAGCTTTACCTTTTACCATAAAGAACCATTTAATTAATGACAGCTGCTTTACTTTTAACTTTCTCATTATGTGAGGTTTTATTCAGGCTTGAACCTGCCCTGCTGTTAGGAATTTGTAGTCATTTACATTACACTGAAATTGAGAGCTTAAATCATAATTTGCGTTACAATTCTGCAATTTATGTTTCAGATATTAGAAGAACTGCTAAAGAAGTTGGAAGTTGAACATATCGTTTGGTGCAATGATAAAAATGGCTATTATTATCAGGTGAGCTTACTAGAAATAAAGCAAAACAAAAGTAAAAATTATTAATTTGAAATTATTCCTCATCATTGTAGAATATAAAGTTAACATAATCAGTTCTGTTCATAAGGGATTGGACATTAGTTTCTGGATACTATATAACTTATATTTTTAAGTATAATTATAATGGATCTTAAAGTAATAGAATAGAAAGATATGGGCTAGATTTATTTGACTCTCGGTAGGGTCGAGTGGTAGCCTGTTGTGACACCATAATGATGTCACTTGAGACTTAAACACCGAGTTTTTTCTGTAACAAATTTAGGCTATGTTATAAATAAGTTCTCTTTGAGATAATCTGAGAGTTGAATGTTGAGTGAATCGTCCTGGATCTTAGATCTGGTTTGATCTGGCACAGATTAAGTTCTGCTGTCAAATAACTACTCCATTAACATTTGAAATTTAGAAGGTCCATAAGTAATTGTAATTGGCTTACATAATGAAACTATGCAAAAATTCTAGTAACGTTGTTTCAGATAATGTGTTTAATTCTGTTGCTAAGTGAATGTTCCCAGATCTCAGATCTGGTTTTATCTGATACAAATTAAGTCTCACTTCATTATTGTTTTCTGATTGTGAAACTTTACCACGTGGGGGCCTGGATGGGTATAAGAATTCAGGCATATATACAAAATAGTGTTGAGTCACGTTGTTATAACATATATTTGAACAGCTTTTGAAAATATGAGGTGATTATACTCCCTCAGATATTGCCCACTGATGATGATGATAAGGATAGGCTTTGATATCCATTGTAATGTGGTCTGTCGTGGCCAGTTAAATAAAATAAACCTCTCTAGTTAGTATCATCATACATTTCTATATAGCTTGTGAAGATGTGAAGACCCTGTAATTACTTTATTAACACATTTTTTAATATCCTGTAAGAAAATTAATGAATTTGACTGACTCAGAACAGGATTCATTGTCAGAGTACCCCTTCATTAGTTAAATAATTATCTAGCTTTCAAGAAGGAAGAAGGAAATTCTTTTTTTCATTCATGATTTACTGGAAGCCTTTTAAATTCTATAACTCTCTGAAGTTGGTCCTGAGGTGATATGTACATATTCTGAGAGAGAACAGGCTGAATATTTTAAAAGTTAGTAGTGAGAGGAAAGTCAGAATTATAGCTGAGTCAGGGTGGCGCTCTGGTGCTTTCTTGAGCATGAGGACATCTGTAACTTCTAAGACACTGATGTAAAATATGTAGTCCTTACAGTTTAGTTAATTTCTGAGCTGTGACATGGAGGCATCGGCCACTTTATGTATGTGTGTTTCACAAGCTGTTCATCGTTCAATTCCATCTTTGGAAGTATAAAGTTATCATAGGTATAGCAAGTGTCACGTAACTTTGAACAAGGCAAAGAGTAACCTTAAATGCGCAGAAGAAAATTTTCAGACAAGGGGGTGGGTTCGAGGGTGTGAGAAATGACAGGCGGCCAGTTGGTACCAAGGTTACTCTTGGCCTTGTTCGAAGTTATGTGACACTTGCTTTAACAGGACTGATTCATATCATGATTTTAAGTTATTTTTTTCAACATGCAGCTACATGCTGGATAACCCAGGTACTTTTATTTTTAGAACTACGTGCATGGTGTTAACATAGTAGAGAAATAATCCGTTTTTAAGTTAATTATAATTTCAGACTTATTCATATAATACAGAATTTAATGAGTCATAATCTGGGTTCAAATACCATATACTTCAGTAGAGATCCACTAATCTGCTTCCTTGTTGCTGATTTCTTGTGTGTCTTACTCTTGTATCCTGAAGATAGATGTGATAAATCCATGCAAAACATTTGTGGACTTCTGCCAAACTACATGCTGTTACAACCCAGAAGATCATACCTTTCATACTGATGACTTTGAAAATTTCAAATTAAACAAGAGAGGATTTCCTCACAAAGGCCTTATCTAAATATATAAATAAATAAATAGGGGACTTGAATTTTCAGCCTGAGCAAAAGATTTTAGACATTAAAAACTTGTTCCCTTTTTATTTGTTAAGCATGAAATGTGTATCTTTTACAATATGTAACTCTGATACTACGTATAGTAACAAATTGAAACACGTAATGATTAGTATGCATGATTTGTAGGTGTTTTTCCCTGTTGGAGCAGGAGATCCATGTGAAAACTGTCTGCACTGCCTCACAGAAATGGGGATTGGTATAAAATACAATTCAGTAGTAAGGTAATGTGATTAATAAGTTATTTTATGTGTTCAGCTGATTACTCAAAAGTTCTGAAAATGTAATTTCGTTTATGTACACTTTTTGGAGGGGCACATAGTAGTGTAGTTGGTTGAGGCACTATGCTACAAGGTGGAAGGTTACGGGTTCGATCCCCAATGAGGGGTATTGGATTTTTCAATTTACCTAATCCTTCCAGCTGCACTATGGCCCTGGGTTCGACTCAGTCTCTAACAGAAATCAGGAATCTGCCTAGGGGTACAGGGTGGCCAGTGTGTAAGATTGACAACCTCACTGCCATCTGTGAGCCGATTGTTTAGAATATGTGGAAGTCTTGATGTCTCACTACATTATGGGCCTCCTTGGCCTATTACTGGGACAACTTTACCTTTTACCTTTTACATTTTTTGGATTTGTTAAATTTATTAGATTTCTCCCCAAACAGAACTTTTTATTTTCTGGATTTGAGGTACTCACAACGGTAGTTATTAAGAGTACTAACTTCTGGGACATAACGCCGTGTAGTTCGTTGAAAACCGACCGACGTTTCAGAGGAACTTATCGCCTCCATTTTCAGGGTTGGCTGAAGACAGAGGTGATATGTTCCTCTGAAACATTGATTGACTTTCAACAGACTACATGGAGTTATATCCAAGAAGTTAGTACTCTTCATGTGTCTCTTCCCTTCTAGTTTTTATATATTAACTAACTAACTAACTAACTAACACCATGGAACAAAGTCCTCGAGAATCTGTTTGTTGTCCAGCTGGTTTACTGTGGAAGCCAAAATACTGTGTCAACAAGAGCCCCATTACTAGTCTCTATCCTGAGCGATATAAATCAAGTCCACGTCCTTCCAACCTGTCTCTTTAAGATTCATTTGAATATTATTGTCTGATCTGCACCTAGGTCTTCCAACTGATCTCTTTCCTTTAGGATTTCCTGCTAAAACTTTATATATATTCTCTCCTATTCCATCCACATTACATGTTCCAGCCACACAATCATTTTTGACTCTGTCAACCTAATAATATTTTGTCAAATTACAAGTTATGAACCCCCTCATTGTGCAGTTTTTTCCAACCTCATGCCACTTGCCTCCCTCTTTATGGTCCAAATAGTGATCCTTAGTACTCTGTTCTCAAACACCCTCAGTGGTATTTTTACACTCCTTCCCTAAAAGCTCCTTTTTCTTTACTGTAACTGTTTATTGTAGGAGACAATTAAATTGTGGTGGGATGCATTTGTTCCAGTTCGTGTTTTATGATGGGACATAATTATGCCAGTACACCAGATCAAAATATTATTAAATAATGCAGAATGTAAATACATTGAATTGAGTTGAATTGAATTTATTTACATTCTATAAATCCTAAGTAGGTTAGTACCTTTGGATACAGAACAAGTCAAAAGGTTACATACATAAGTACAGACAATTTTAGCTAAAAAATTAATATAACTTAATTTTACATCATTCTCTATTTACATTGAAGTATTCATCTAAAGAGTAGAAGGAATGAGCATGTAGATAATTCTTTAACTCTGATTTAAAACTTTTTAGTATCATTGCCCAAGTTTTTAATACTTTGTGGCAGATTGTTGAACACTTTTATGCCAGTAAAGTAGATTCCTTTTTGATATACTGATAAAGTTGATGAGGGTAGGTGGAAGTTATATTTTTGTCTAGTATTCATGTTATAGACATCAGAATTTAATTTGAATTTATCTTTGTTGTAAACAACAAATAAGAGAAGCGATAATATGTATTGCGATTGAAGAGGTAGAATTTTTAATTTCTTAAATAATTCTCTACATGAATCTCTACTTCTACATCCTGTAATGATTCTAATTATATTCTTTTGTATTTTAAAAATTATTATACTATGTGAAGAGTTCCCCCAAAATATTAATCCATA